AGTGAGTGAAGTGATTTCAAAACAAAAGAAATGAAAAGCAAGTAAGGGTGATCACCTCGTAACTAACACAGGAAAAATAGGCAAGAGTACCTATCGTTCTAAGGTAGTATAGCAGGAAGCAAGGTCATATCCACACAGACTTCATGTACTAGTACTCATCTTTTACCTATTATCTAGTCAATTGTTTTTAGTTTGTTTTCATTTAGAACTAAAAACACACGCAATAATAAAAACACAATAAAGTATTTTTCAAAGTAAAATCAAGTGGAGAAGGCGTTTTATAGACAAGTCGAATTTAACATAGACGAGTGTTCATATCTTAGACCGTGGGAATTCCCAATTTAGTATTAACCCGTTCGCACATGTATTAACACCCTTTCGACTTAAGAATTAAGTGAAACCGTAGCTTACAAGACTCTTAAACCAAAGCATTAACCAGATTTGTGAATTTCCGTATTAGGTTTTTAAGCTAATCTAGAGGAACTACGTGACCCCATCGCTGGTGGCTCCGATCAATTCCTTCTTTTCACGAGAGATCTCACATGGAAAATTACCTCGCAGTCTCATTTACATGTATAAGAAAAAAATATACAGTAGGCGCGTACTATTGATACTTGCACATGATAAGTCGAGAAAAGATCGTAAGAAAGAGAACAACACGTCTATATCAAATATACCACTCAATCCATGTAAAACATTGATTCGGGCCTAATTGTACATATTTGACCCCTGTTTTCCTTAGGCGTTTGTGGCAATTGTGCTCCTAAAAGGGTGGTTTTATGCGAGGTTTCTTGTTTTTTAGCTTGTTTCAGGATTTAACAGGTGAAACCAGCACCAGAGTCGAAAGTTGGACAAAAAAGAGCGAAAACCCACTACAAGAAATTTGACATTAAGTGACAAATTAATTTTGTTGTCATAAAATATTTGTCATATTAGGCAACTAAATATGACCAAAAAAAAACTTGTCACATTTAATTGACTATATGTGACAAAAGTTATACTTGTCATTCAAAGTTGTCATAATAGAGTTACATTGTGACAAAGTTTTTGTTGTCATTATAATTTTGTCACTATATGTCTTATTTACCGCGCAAATACTGCTACAGAATGACAAAACATCCCGTCACCTTATGGTTTGTCACATTATGTTCAAGAAATCCTAAGATATGATAATATAATTTGTCATAATATGGTGTGCAGAATGAAATAAACTTTTTCATTAATATTTTTTTTTTAGAATTGCTATTTTTCGTCCAGAATTCCATTGGGCGGGACTATTATTCCCCTTCCCTCCAAGACGAAAAAAAACCCCAACCCGCCTCTCTAACCCTTCAGCTCCAAGAACAGAAACCCCAATTCCATCTCCACTGCGAATTGCAAAGTCGAAACCCCTCTCCCCACATCCTCTTCAGCGATTCGTCTGGGTACGTTCTCCTCCCCGCGAATCGATTGTCCGGTAAGTCTCGTTCGTCTCCTCGCCCTGGACTCCTTTTCCTCTGCGATTTTGGTTTTGATTTGCATGGTGGATACCTGATTCCGATAAAAGCAGAGTTGGGTTCCTCATGTTTCTTCTTCTATCTCTGTCGTTCATAGGCGCTCTTGCACAGGGGGTAGGGCTTTCCCTCTGAATCAACAGTCTCCGATTAACCAAGTTGCCCTCCTTTGCTTCGACGACCTGCCTTCCCTGCCGCGAGTTCCCTCCATCGATAAACCGAGTAAGTCTGGCCTTCGATTTTGTGTAAGCCCAGTGTATGGATTGGCTTACATAGATAGCTGTTATGAAATTTGTGTATCTGGTACGCGAGATGAGTTAATTTGATGCAATGGATTTGGATGAAGGCGACATTTGTGAAAAGTGTTTTTTGATGGGGATGGTTTTTGTTTCTGAAAGGCCAATGTGCCATGCTGTTTGGGTTTAACTAAGATGACTGAAACATGATTGAAAAGATTAGTCCTTCTGATGATAACCTCAGCTACCTAGATGTTCAATTAGTAATTCTGATGACTTCCCTTGATCTGGTTGATTCTGAAACGCGTATGATTTGAAGCAGCATGCTGTTTGGGTTTAACTAAGATGACTATCTCTATGGTGTACTGTTTATCTCCTTTCTAAGTTCAAAAAAGCATAATTTGTTAACTAGATTTGAGCTACCTTGAACTGATTTGAAAGTTTAATGCTACATGCAGGTTATTTGTCTCTTTGGTCGATTACAACCTGCTGCGGCAAGTTACAGACTGCAATCAAAGGTCAGTTATACCTTAACGCGTAATGAGTCGTGAGTGGATAATGCTCAAAGATCATTGGTGTGCTGATTATGAGTTGGGTGTTAATGAGTTCATGGAAGTTGCTTCTAAGCATGTTGATGCAATTGGTAGGGTTAGATGTCCGTGCAAGAACTGCAATAATCTCTACTTTAAGACATTAGTCCAGGTGCGGGGAGACATATTTAAGCATGGTATGGTCGAGACATATAAAACGTGGGTCCATCATGGTGAGTCTTATGGTGTTAGTAGTAACGGTGAAAACCCACCGACTGAGTCTGACGATGTTCATAATGAAGAGAGTGGGTTACAGACCGACATGTCTGAAATGTTGGGTGATTTTGGTAGGGCGAATGAGTGTCTAACAACCGCTGAACCTTCCCACGGTCCTAATAATAATGGTGCATTGGCAAGGCTCCTCAAAGATGCCAATTGCCCTCTTTACCCTGATTGTAAAAAAATTTCAAAACTGTCCTATGTTATGAAAATGATGAACATCAAGATACATACAAACAGTAGTGATAAAGCATTCAACCAATATCTTGAATTAATCAAGGAAGGTTTACCGAATGGGGAAACACTTCCCACTTCGTTCTATGAGGTGAAGAAGTATATGCGTGATCTTGGATTTGGTTACACCATCATCGATGCATGTCCCAATAACTGTGTTCTGTATAGGGGGCAGCTTGAAGCTGCTCGAGAATGTCCAAAATGTAAAGAACCTAGGTTTAAATCTGGTAAACAGAAAGATGCTGCCTTAAAGAGAGCTAGATATTTCCCCATTAAGGATAGGTTGCAGCGGTTGTTCACTACCAAAGATCTAGCAAAAGATATGCGGTGGCACAAGGATAAAAGCGTTGATGATGATATTCTTAGGCATCCAACTGATGGTAAAACGTGGAAGGATTTTGATCGGGATCACCCTTGGTTTGCTGCGGATCCCAGGAATGTCAGACTAGCGCTGCTTAGTGATGGGTTTAACCCATTCGGTAACATGAGCAACAGCTACAGTATGTGGCCTGTTGTCTTAACCCCGTACAACTTACCTCCTTGGTTATGTATGACCGACCCTTTTTTTTCCTTAGTGTCCTAATTCCTGGTCCCGAATACCCCGGGAATAACATTCATGTCTATCTAGAACCCGTTATAGAACAGTTGAATGAGTTGTGGCATGATGGGGTTCTTACATATGATGCTCATGCAAATGAATCTTTTCAATTGCGTGCTGCATTGCTGTGGACCATCAATGATTTCCCTGCATATGCCATGCTTTCTGGGTGGAGCACTAGGGGTAAACTGGCCTGCCCAGTGTGCAACATTGAGACTTGTTCTCAACGTTTGGAATATGGAAGCAAGGAGTGCTACATGGGGCATCGAAGGTGGTTGGACAAAGATCATCGTTGGAGGAGGAGTAAGAAGTTCAATGGGAAGCTAGAACACAGAAACAAACCTAAGCAATTATCAGGGGAAGAGATACTGCAACAGGTTGAAGCTGCGTTCAGTGGGGATGTTGCTGTTCATGATGGTGGGAAACGGAAGAGGAGTGCTGCGGAGGACAAGTTCAATTGGAAAACAAGATCTTCCTTTTGGACTTTGCCATACTGGAAGTCTATTGACTTGCGACATAACATAGATGTCATGCATGTGGAGAAGAACATTAGTGACAATGTTATAGGGACGATGATGAGCATTGATGGGAAAACAAAGGATACGCCAAATGCTCGCATGGATTTAAAACAGATGGGCATTAGGAAGGAATTACATTTAATTCCTGTTGGTGATAGGTTTAAGATGCCACAAGCCTTATACACACTAACAGCGCTGCAACGTAGGGAATTCTGTGACTGGTTGAAATCTGTAAAATTTCCCGATGCTTATGCATCAAACATATCCCAGTGTGTGACTACTAATGGTAAGTCGGTGACAGGGTTTAAAAGCCACGATCACCACGTATTTATACAACGATTGCTGCCTACTGTTGCTAATGGTTTCTTCACAAAAGAAGTTTACACTATTTTGGCTGAGTTGAGTGGTTTTTTCAGAGAGTTGTGTTCCAAAACAATATCCAAAGCCACTGTCAAAAATTTGGACCACAACATACCTCTAATTTTGTGTAAGCTTGAGATGTTATACCCTCCATCTTTTTTCGTGGTTATGATGCACCTTCCCGTTCATCTACCCCATGAGGTAGAACTTGGTGGACCGGTACAGTATAGGTGGATGTATCCCATGGAAAGGTAGCCTTTTTTTCTTTACTTTTTCGTTCACACCATACTCTAATTTGTTAACCCACAATGTCCTTAACCTTATTTTATGGGCTGTTGTTTTTGTGTACTTAGGTTTCTTGGTACCCTTAAAAGTTTTGTTCGAAATAGGGCTAACCCTGAGGGGTCCATTGCTGAAAGATATATTGCAAAAGAGTGCTCCGATTTTTGTTCTAGATACTTGGAAGGGTTTGAAACAAGGTCTTCTCGTCCTAACCGTAATGATGACGGGTTTGAAGGTGTTGAGTCTGAGGGCTTTCGTGTTTTTACCCAACAAGGTAGAACACTAGGAGCTACTCGTTATGACCCGATTTCAGTAGAAGAATTTGAGCAAATTCAATGGTATATACTTAATAATTGCGATGAAATTGAAGACATTATCAAGTAAGTACAGTATAACTTTGACTAGTAAATGCAACGTTTTCTTTTACACATCTTTACTCCCCCACAACCTAATTCTTATCACTGCACAGCATGCATAAAGATGAGAAGGTTAAAGAGAATCCTAACATTTCCTATCAATCCCTTAAAGCTAACTTTCCGTCTTGGTTGAAGCAACACGTAAGTTATGGTGGATGAGTGAGTTAACTTTTTTGTTTCATTATAATGACTGATTTCCTTGCTAATCCCTTAGAGCTAACTTTGTTTTTCTGTTCACTACTTCACTGACTGGCTAGGTTACAGAATTGTGTTTGGCTGGTACCCTTAAAGCGCGAGACCATTTACATGTATTAGGGTTAGGGGCAGACACACGCGTCACTAGGTACAACGGCATCCTCTTTAATGGTGTTCGTTACCAAGTGTTTGACCCAAAACAAACCCATAGGACTCAGAACAACGGTTTATTTGTGGAAGGGGCTCATAATGGAGAGAATATTGACTTCTACGGGGTGCTAGTCGATATATATCAACTTACCTACTGCTATGGTAATCGCGTTTTTGTCTTCAAATGCGATTGGTGGAATGTAGGAGATGGCAGACATGGGATACGGGAAGATGGGTTCATTACTAGTGTTAATATGGGTAGAAAATGGTATCAAAATGAGCCATATATATTGGCTGGTCAAGCGAATCAGGTATTTTATATACCCGATATAAAGAATGGTGGTGCTTGGCATATTGTCATCAAGGTTACTCCCCGACACGTGTATGATGTTCCTGAGAAGGAGGAAGGGGAAATAAATGATCCTGTGTATGCAAGTGAGGCATTTCAGCAAGAAGAGAGTGGTGTTGGCAATGTGATTCAAGTGCAGGACACGGAGTTGGAAGACCTGAATCGTGCAAACGAGGCTCCCACAATGGTCAGTGAGAGCGTTATTAAAAAAAGGGCTATTTTACTCGACACAGAGGATACAATGGAGGTCGAAGAGGACGACACATTAGCTGATTTCGATGATGTTTTGGAGGGAGCAGCAGCTGCTAACCCTTTGGAGGAAATCGACAGTGACGATGAATATGACAAGTAGCGAGTGCAAGAAAAAATACTCATTCCCCCCTTAAACCAAGTACAGAAGGATTTGAGTTTGGATTTAATTATATTGTTTTACAAAGTATATGAAATTTGGGTTAATAAACTCTGCATTTAATTACTCTACATCTTTGTTGAGTTTATACGTTTATAAGTGTTTGTGAATTTGCTGATGGTTTAACTCTGTTTGGACTGTGCATTTAATTACTCTACATCTTTGTTGAGTTTATACGTTTATAAGTGTTTGTGAATTTGCTGATGGTTTAACTCTGTTTGGACTGTGCATTTAATTACTCTACATCTTTGTTGAGTTTATACGTTTATAAGTGGTTGTGAATTTGCTGATGGTTTAACTCTGTTTGGACTGTGAGCAGAAATGCCACCGAGGCCTGAAAAGAAAGCAAGGACTGGGAAGCAGCCGATGATGGTCTGTGAACGAGTGACCAGATCCCATCCAGCGAGGAGTGTAGAGAATGCAGGGAGCTCGTGCATGGGTCCACTGAGGTCTCCGATAAAAAAATGCAGGTCTCCGAGGGGTAAAGGGAGGTCTAAGAGGGGTGAAAGGGTGTCTCTGAGGGATGGAGGGAGGTCTCCGAGGGCTGAAGGGAGGTCTCCGAGGGCTGAAGGGGGGTCTCCGAGAGCTGAAACGGTCTCTCCGAGGGGTGAAGAGCGGGTGTCTCCGAGGGTTCCAAGGAGGACTACTGAACCTATTGAGGAGATTGACGAGAATGCAGATAATACTGCCACATCCATGCCTGAACAACCGGAGAAGACAGGTGCGTGTTATCCTAACTTTTCTTTTGTCACTTGAGAAACATGGATTATCACATTTCTATTAACAGTTTGGATGATTATAATTTGACCTACATCCATAGGTGGCCGAAAGAGGGGGCTGACCAAAGGTGTTCAAGTGATGGCACGAACCACCGGGGGGAGTAGGATCGATGGAGTATTCCTGCAGGAGAACAGCCACGCAATTGTGGGCCCTAACCAGAAGTTGCTGAACACAGAAGTTGGTGTCGTTGCTCGTATGATGGCTCCCATAAGGAAGTACTATTGGACTGAGTTGACTGATGAAGACAAACACCCTATGTTTGTGAAACTAGAGGTACGGTAATCTGTCTTTGTTAATTTAAAATTATCAATTGCATAGTCTGAATGCATGGAATTTGATGAAATTGCAGAGCGAGTTTGCATTTGCCTTAGCTACTGAAGAGGTGAGGAAGGCTTTAGATAAGAAACTACACAAACGCTTCTTGAACTACAAGTACACCTGTCATAAACACTACAAGGAACAGGAAGACCCCACCAAAGCTCGTCTGAACCCTCCAGAAGGAGTGAAACAGGAAGACTGGGAGGCCCTCTGTGAGCACTTTGAGAGTGATCGATTCAAGGTAAAACTTGCCGTGTTTGGATATTTGATGACACTTGTACAAGATGAGAGCTTAGCACACATTTCTGTTTGCAGGGGCGGAGCACAAATAACATACAAAACAAGGCTAAGCAGCAGTATGCTCACACTACTGGGGCAAAATCCCACGACCAGAGAGTGTATGAAATGGTAAAGCATTAAGTTTTATTTACATCTTTGTACAACAACAAATCTGAATTTGACCAGATGACCATAAACTAGGGGTAAACAGGCCACTTACCACACCTTTACCATGTTTGAACATTTGAACTATCATGTATAGGAGCAAAAGAAGCTGGCTGCACAAGCAGCTCAAACGGAGCAGGTAGATGACCAGGATGCTGAGCGAGGAACCGAAATTGAGCTGTATGCCAACACGCACAAGAAGGCAAGTGATGGTACTTGGGTGAGCGAGGAACCGAAAGCGAATTATGTAAGCCCTTCTGCTCCTCTTATATTGTGTACCTAGTCCACGCACATGAATGGATATTCGATGTATAGTTATTGTAATAGGTTGATTGAATTAAGAGGGAACAATTATTACTGTGGTCTGGTTTATTATGCGCCTCCTGTTACTGTGGTGTGACTTTTATTTTGCTTTGCATCTTGTTGTGGCCTGTATATTTGGGTGGTGACTTTTATTTTGGTGCAATATAGGAGGCGATGCTGGCCCTCCATGCCCAAGCAAAGGCAGATGGGAATCCACTGCTGGGTCGTGACATCGTTCAGAAAGTCTTGCAGAGGAAGCTCAAGTATGGACCTAAAGAATCAGTGAGGAAGTCGGCAAGAGAAGTTCAGCTGGAAGCAGATCTGGCAGCAGCAAAAGCAGAGGCGGAAAGTAAGACCAAGGAGTTGGAGGCCAAGCTGGTAGAGCAGGATGAGAAGATTAAAGCTCGGGATGAGGAGATTGAAAAACATAAAGTAGAGCTTGATCTGCAACATGAACGTTTGGCTAACCAAGGGAAAAAGATGGAACAAATGCGCTTGGCACAAGAGAAGATGCAAAAGAGTATGGAATCCGTCCTCGCCAAACTCAGCAGGAAATGATTGCACCAGGTACATAGCTATTATTGAATGCATGAATTTCATCTACAGAACTTAGTCAATCTGTTAGGAACAATTATGCACGAATGTGAAGTCTCAATCTAGCTTCTTCTCAAATTGCAATTGCAGGTGTGGAGACGCATCCCTGCACGACCGTGTGTTTCATATGACTTGAGGAGGTTGCGTCTTAGCGAATGTTTTCCTGAACGGAATTATTTATAAGTAGTTGTCGGCTGCAAACCCATTTTGGACAATATGGTTGTGTCGAACAGAATGTAGGAGTGTGTGATGTGATGCAGGAATATTATCTATTTTGCGTCTTTGTAAGCTGGGAGCTAGGACCCTGAATATTCAGCGTTTTCTAAATGAATGTGACTGTCGGCTTGTTTTATGACATATTTTATGTGTAGTAAGCTTGTCACATTTACTGCTTACAGGAACGAACAAATTATGACAAGGTTCCATTATCAGTTTATGACAATGGTATTACGACAAAGCAGATCCATATTATTACAAACTGGACCGTCACTGAATACATAAAATATGACAAAATTATGTTATCATATGTGATTTCTAAGGGCACGTGCCCTACAGCTTAAAGTGACGAATGTGAATGACAAACAGTTCCCTCATAATATCTTGTTCAGTCAGTTGGTTGTATTAAAGTGTGACAAAATTAACAGTCTAATGTGACAAGATCTTTCGTCATGGTAGGACAACATATTATGACAACGATTTATTGTCAAGTTGACTGAACAATATTATGACAACCTAAAAATTAAACTTTGTCACATTAGACCTAATACGACGGAGCAAAGCTGATAAAGCCTTTTTGTCATAACACTTGTCACATTAGACAAAAAGTGACAAAATGGCACACTAAAATGACAAATTGGGTGCGTCACAAAATACCTAATTTCTTGTAGTGACCGGGAGAAGAGGTGAAAAATCGGCAGTTCACGGTTCGCTTGGATGTTCACGGTCTGCTAAGACCGTGAAGAGGAGCTGTTGCCCGTGAACACCTATGCGTCCAGGGACAAATCATAAGTTACTGACGCGAGGTGAGTTCACGGTCACTAAGACCGTGACATAGAGTTGTTGCTTGTGAACCCGTGCAAGCGAAGCGGTTCGTTTCGACGCCAATCTTGAATTTACAAACGCGTTCAAGAGTTCACGACCGTGAACTAAGGCCGTGAACTGAGCTCGATCCCTGTTTAAAAGGAGAGCTGAAAGGGAGAGAGAGGGGAGAGCCCAAGAGTGAGAAAGTGCCTTCTTCAGGTTTTAGAGAGAGAAAGAACGAACCAAGGAAGGAAGAAGGCTAGGGTTTGCTCCAAGTGGTGAATTAGGAAGATTCTCCCTAAGAGAAGTTCAACACAAGCTCAAGGAAGATTGGAAGCATCTCCATGATGGTTTCTACCTCTTCCTCTTTTGTTTCTCCCCTTTCTACCATTGAGTAGTTTCCTTTTTCACTTGAGTGTTGTGAAACCCTAACTATTTACCATGTAGTTTTTGTTATGTGAATTGAATGATTGTTTATGGGTGTTGTTTAATTCAATGATTGAGGTATTTTTCAGGTTGATTGTGCGTGTTTGTACTTAGCAATCTAATCAGCCATTTTAACCTAAAATTGCCTTGCTTTATTTTAATTAGCAAACTTTTCAACCAAAACCGATTCACTAAATAACGATGCAAATGACTGAAGTAGGGGTACACAGACCGGCCCGAGTCGATATTTAAACATACTTTTCCTATATTGCACCCGAGTAAGGTTTATACTTGGACCTTAGGCGGGAATTAATTGTGATATTCGAGATGAGTCATGTTTTTGGCGCCGTTGCCGGGGATAGCGGTCTGTTATCTTGAAAAAGTTGCTTGGTGTTAATCTAGCTTTTAATTTCTAGTTTTGAAATTGTGTGTTCTTTGCTTGTGCTAGACTTGGTGTTGTTTTCTGATTGTGTGTAGGAGGTGCATGGTCCGGAGTAATCCGACACATTTGCTACCCCGTGATGAGGACATAAACTGAACTCTCCGACTCCTAGCACGGGAGAGGGAGATAGCGGAGTCAAGGAGAAGAAGGGAAGAAAGCGGACAACAATTTGGTCCCGGTGTTAGTGGAGTATAAGTTGAAGAAGTGGAAGGTGAACCCGACATTGGAGTAGAAATGGCGGGGAACCAAAGAGAAGCAGGAGTCGGCCAAGCTCGTAATCTAAACGATGCGGCAGTGGAAGAGGAAGCCCCAAGGACAATGGGATACTATATGGCCCCACGACCGGCGGACATTCAATCGCCAATCCTACACCCTCCCGTGGCGGCCAACAATTTCGAGATCAAGCCGGCTCAAGTGACCATGATACAGAACAATGCTTTGTTCCATGGTCATGCGACCAAGTCACCAAGAGAGCATGTGCAAAGATTCCTAGAGCTCGCGGGGAGCTTAAAGATCAATGGCATGCCAGCTGAAGCTTTGCAGTTGAGGCTTTTTCCCTATTCACTTTCGGGGAAAGCACTCCGGTGGCTAAACAACCACCCGCCTCGTTCAATCACCTAATGAGACGATCTTCTAAACAAATTAATGTCCCGCTACTTCCCGCCTTCGAAGACGCCCGAGTGGAGAAAGATGATTGACTCGTCCCGAATACCACAATAATTTCCCGCCTAAGGTCCAAGTATAAACCTTAGTCAGATGCAATATAGGATAAGTATGTTTAAATATCAACCCGGGCCGGTCCGTCTACCCCTACTTCAGTCATTTAAATCATTATCTATCAATAAATTTTTGGTTGAAAAGTTTGCTAATTAAAGTAAAACAAGACAAAGGTGAATGGTTTTGAAAGCTCTTTTGTGGAAGTATCGTTCGGGTGTCGCTTCCCCATAACTACTACCATGGTATGTGAACCGAAATGATTGCTAAGGGCAAGGTGATCGCTAACCCCTAGGGGACACAAATATGGTCGTAGACCACGCTCATGATTGCTAAACCGAGGCATGCATTATAGGCTATCACTAGGGGCTCTCGGTTTAGGCAATCAATGGTTGACTTACTCCCTCACTCAACCCAAGGGTTGGATGGCTAAATCACGCTTAACCAAATTGTTTAATCCAATATTGAGGTTTGCCTTAAATTAACCTAGTTAGAAGACTTAAAAGCCCTAGGCATACCAAATCAATTGAGACTCCCTTGCTAAGCATATACATGCACAATCCTTAGGTTGCTAAGCATAGACATGCACAAACCTAAGGATGCTAAACACAAACATGCACAATCAAGATAAATAATACCTCAAACATTTGAATTAAACAATACCCAATGACAATCATTCAATTCACATAAAAGAAAACTACATGGTAGAGTTAGGGTTTCACAACACCCAAGTGAAAAGAATTCTACACCATGCTAGAAATGGGAGAAACACAAGGAGAAGGGGTAGAAACCATCTTGGAGGAGGCTTCAATCTTCTTGGCCCTTGTGTTGAACTTTCCTTGGAGAAAATCTTCCCAAAATTCACCTTGGAGAAAAACCCTAGCCACCTTCTTCTTTGGTTCGTGTTTCTCTCTCTAGAAATTAGAAGAAGGATTTCTATCTCAAACGGACTCTCTCCCTCTCTCTTCCTTTCAACTCAGCTTTTAAACAGGGAACGAGCTTTGTTCACGGCTCCAGTTCACGGCCGTGAACATTGAAATGTGTCCGTGAACTCCAATTGGGCGACGAAACGCACTGCTTTGCTTCCTATTGTTCACGGTTTACAACCCCTGTTCACGGTTTTAGTGACCGTGAACACGACTTGCGTCAGTAACTTGAATTTTGGCTCTAGACGCCTCCAAGTTCATGGCCAATGGCTCTTCTTCACGGTCATACAAGACCGTGAACAGCCAAGGAAAACCGTGAACTCTCCATTTTTCACCTCTTCTCCCGGGTTTCTATCCTTTTTGTCCAACTTTCGACTCTGAGGTTGGTTTCACCTGTTAAATCCCGAAACACACTAAAACACGAGAAACCTAGCGTAAAACCAACCTTTTAGGAGCGAATCCATTGGCGGTTATGCAGAGTTGGGGGATGCTGATTCCTAGATTGCGGCTCGGGCGGCAAAAATCACGGTATGTTAATAATCATTATTATGTTTAGAATGTTTCGAGTCTTTTGAGTTTTGACACCTCATGTTCTTCTAATTGTTGCGTTAATAAGGGCGAAGAAGTTTAAAGCCAATCTTTTGGTACCTATTTTCATAATCGTCTATTAGGGAATTTAGTTAGAGTTCTATACTTGAGTTCAAAAAGATTGTCTCTAATCACTTTTGATTTTACTCTGCTTCTATGTGTTCAGGTTCCTCAGCTCCTGGTCCTGGGAAGATGAAGGAGCTAGTCGAGGGTCCATTATAACCGTCCCCTCAT